TTAACCACATAATTCCGTGCGTACATAAAAAGCGTCTTGCGTTTTACAGCAAAAAATAGTATTTAAAAGGAGGCGAAACAAAATAGTGTCCCTTCATTCTCAAATCCTATTATTATGTAAGCACATTATAAAACGATCAAGAAGAAACGATCAAAAAAGAAGCGAACCAGAACGCGGTTCATTAATACCTGAGGATTGGGTCGGGTAATTTAGACGTATTAAAAAGGGAAAACCCTCTCATCTATGGCTTATACCTATAAGCTTTCCCTAAAGGTCGATAAGTATTATTTTTAAATTTTTAACAAAATAAATTCTTTGTTTAACGGAAGTCTTTTATTTTTTAACATCTTCTGTACAAATAATATACACAAAAATTTCCAAAAAAGGTTTAAAAAAGACACAAAGCTTTAGAAAAAAGGATATTTTAATGAGTCATTTAATTACTCATTTAATTGTTTTTTTATTTGTTCTAATATTTTTGGGATATTTTAAAATTACAAAAAAATAAAATGGATTTAATTTCCTCCCAAAAATTTATTTTTATTTTCAAATTTAAAATTTTAAAATTTAAAAAAAATTTAAAAAAAATTTCAAAATGTCCAAAGTGTTCAAATTAATTATTTTATTAATTTTAATAATTTATTTAATTAAAATTAAAGCTAAAATTCAAAAAAATAAAAATAACTTAATTGATATTAGTCAAGAATATTCAATTAATAAACCTGTTGAATGCTCATTTTATTCAAAAAAATATTATTGTTATAATGGGGGAAAATGTAGAAAAATTATTTATAATGATGAATTATCTCCTATATTTTGCATGTAAGTTTTAATTTTAAGACTCTAAAGTTTAAGTTTTGCTTCAAGTTTATTTAAGTTTATTATAGGTTTATTCTACATAAGTTTTAAGTTTATTCCAAGCAAGTTTATTTTTTCTATTTCAAGTTTATTTTACTTTAAGTTTATTTATTTCAAGTTGATTTTTCCTAAGTTTATTTACTTTTAATTTTGCTTCAAGTTTATTTAAGTTTATTATAAGTTTATTTTAGGTTTTAAGTTTATTTCAAGTTTATTTTTTTATTCAAGTTTATTTTATTTTAAGTTTATTTACTTAAAGTTTATTTTTATTTGTTTCAAGTTTATTTTACATTTTAAAGTTTATGTTGTCTATTTTTAAGTTTATTTATTTCAAGTTGATTTCTCCCAAGTTTATTTACTTTAAGTTTAATCTTGCTTCAAGTTTATTTAAGTTTTTATAGGTTTATTTCAAGTTTATTTTTTTATTTAGGTTTATTTTATTTCAACTTTCTTTAAGTTTATTTTTTTATAGTTTATTTTACATTTTAAAGTTTATTTTAAGTTTATCTAGTTTATGTATATTTTTGTTTCAAGTTTATTTAATTTTATGATAGGTTTATTTCAAGTTTTAAGTTTATTTATTCAGATTAATTTGTCTATTTTCCCTTCAAGTTTATTTTCAAGTTTATTCTACATTTTAAAGTTTGTTTATTCCAAGTTTATTTAAATAATTGTATTTTTTACAATTTTACAACCAAGTTTATTTATTTTTAAACTTATTGTAAAACATGTTTTACAATCCTTCTAATAATAAAAACATTTAAGTTGCCCAACAAACTTTCACGGGTCTCGTTGTCAGTATTTGTTCAATCCAAATGTTTATTTTGTTGATTCTTCCACAACAACAACAAATTATTTGTTGAACAAAAACTTTAAAACATTTTTATTTGTTGGTGTTTTTACAACAACTATGACTTTTACAATTGTAATTGTTTATAAAAGGAAGGAAATGTTTCCAACAAATAATAAAACTTCTTCAACTCCTTTACTTGTTTTGTAGTTATAAACTTGAAATGTTTATGTTCTCAAGACTGTGCGCCAAAACACCATAACGTTCAGCAAAGCGCCGCATCACAGTTGTGATCTATTTAAACTTTAAATTAAACTTTGTTTTGATGTTTTTGTATTTTTTGTGTTTTATTTATTTTTATTTCTTATTGTTTTAATTAAATTTTACAACATATTTATTTTTATATTACAAATAAATTATTTTATTAATCAAAAAATATATAAAATTACATAAATAAAATAAAATTGAAATAATCACAACTAAATTAAAGTTGGACCTTATTTAAACATACTCTAGCCCTAAATCCCTTATAATAAACCCATTGTAACACGGGGTATATTTGAGTAGTGTGATTCTAAAGTAGGTATTTGATTAAAAAAAATTTATTTAACCGATGGTTTAAAAAGAAATAAAATTGCAAAATGATCAAATTTCATCGAAATAGTTTAGAGCAAATAACAACTTTTATAAACAAAAAGTTGTTTATAAACATAAATTTGTGTTCTCATTTAATTAAAGTATATTTGCCTATCAATTCCGCTATTTTTTAGATAATCACAAAATTTTCTATTATTTTTTGAAAGAGATAAATCACAAAATTAATAGTAACATTAATAAGTGTCAATATTTTTTTTAAAACGCTTAGCTCGGGATTTTCTCGGGTTTTTGATATATCGTTGAAGGGGTACGATATTTTTTATTTGGTCGGTCGATATTTTCGGTATTTAAATTTGGCTGTAGTTTAGTATACCGGAATTTTAGTTCCGATACAGGACCCATACCATTCGATTCGTCTCATTTGTCAGCGAGCTGAGTCGAACGGTACCACTCTTTTTTGCCGGAGATGCCTGTATACCGAAATATATGACCCCGAAAATCGAAAAACCATAGGGGGAGTCGCTATTACGAATGAGCTATTATTCGAAAAATCGAATTTTTCAACCCAAAATTGTGCTTACTCCCCCTATGGTTTTTCGATTTTCGGGGTCCTATATCACGGTCCACAGGCATCTCTGGCAAAAAAGAGTGGTACCTTTCGACGCAGCTCGCTGGGGCGAATCGAATGGTATGGGTCTTGTATGGAACTAAAACTCCGGTATACAAAACTAAATCCTTAAATTTTTCCGATCGATATTTTTCGATAAATATCGAAAAATATAGAATATCGATAAGTATCGTATCGAGCCGGGCTTAATACTTAGACATAAAAATGAAAAATAAAATGATAATTTTGATTTTCTTCCTCTTAATAATTTCCTTCTTTATTAATATTATTTTCTCTTCAATTTTCTTCTTTTCTTCAATAAATTTAATTTTTTCTAATCCAACAACATTTTTTGTTCCATCTTTTAATCAAAATTTTGATTGTGTTGATTTAATTTGCGAGACTAATGATTTGGGGAAGTTGGATATTTTTGATGATGAGTTGAAATTAATAGACATTAGTAATGGGAAAGTGTTGGAGAAATGTAGTAAATGCAGTGATTGTACAAATAGTGGATATAGGTACTTAAATATTCAAACATGGGCATTTTGAAATTTGGACATTTTGAAATAATTTAAAAATTTCAAAAATTATTCTAGTTAACATTTTTAAACCTGGACATTCTTAAATTAAATTTTTGAAACTTTAAATTATATTGTTACAGTACTTGTATGCTCCATATTGACGTTCGGAAAATTAGAGAAAATGTAACTTGTAATTGTCTACATAATGGCCCTTTAATACGAAATAACGGTGCAAGAAGCGTTCCAAGCACTGAAGGGAGTATTGGAAATACACAAAAATGCAAAATTTTGGATGGACGAAATGGTGGTATTAGATATAGGGAAATATATGAACCTAAATTGGAGCGGAATAAGGCTTTCTACAGGCTTTGTTATTCTTCTTGTAATATTTTATTAATTATGATACAGTCTGATTTGATTATTAGATACAATGAGAGGTGTCATAAATAAGGTGGGGGGGGTTATTGCTTATGCGAATCTCCCATACTCGGGTATATCTTAAATTAAGGTATCCACTTCCGGGAGATCTTATACTATCAAAACTCATTTATAAATAACTTTTTAATAGATATTCCACAATTTAAGATATGTTATTGAGTGTGAGAGATGCTTAGGCGATACCCACCCTTATTTAAAATAAGATAAATCTCTCTCAAGTCCAGGAGTTTATCTTATAGTGATGCCGCTAATAATTTTTTGAAATAAAAAATTTTAATATAGCACTCCGTAAATTGCCCGTTCCAAAAGCAACAAATGAAGTAGAAGGAGGTTCACCAATTCCGGCAGTTTTGGTAACTATAGAAAGATTTTGGAACGACAAATATTGGCAAAAATTAAAACCTTATGATTTACATTTATTTTATGTTTTTTCTGTTACTCAAAAGGATTTTTGTGAAAAAGGAGATATTATTATACCTAATACAGAAGATTTAATTTGGATGAATCAGGGGAAGGTAGTTTACGTTTGATGGTTTTTGAACTCAGTTATTCTAAAATGTTAAAATATTGTGATTATTGCTGTTCGAGATGGCCTCGAATCAAGAAATTTCTCGGGTTTTTAGTGTCTCGTGCTTAGTCTCGGAAAACGAAAAAAATTTACACCTCTAATGACGTGAATTTTTAAGTAAATGCGAGGTTATTCGTACAAATCCCTTGATTGATTTGAGGGTACCAGGAGTGTACTAGAGATCGGACCAAACAAATATTTGGTCAAATAAAATCAAATATTTGACCAAATTTTATTTGATTTTATTTGATCAAATATTTGTTTGATGAGCTTTTGAAGAAATTTGATTTTTTCAAATATCAAATAAATATCAAATAATTTGATCAAATATTTGTTTGATGAAGGTTTGAAAAATCAAATATTTGATCAAATATCAAATAATTTGAAAAATTATTTGATTTTCGTTTTTAGCATGTAAAGTGGGCATATTTTCCTTATAAAATCGATATGTTAGCAGAGATTTTTGCTCCAGGACAGATTATTTATCCTATCAGAACATATCCCGATGCACCTGATATCCTATATTACTTCATAGTTGAGTCCGCACGATTGAGTTGAGTCCGCACGATGATCACCCATGTATAGTAATTTAGAAGGGATTTTGGGGATTATCAGTGATATTGAGGATTAGAGGTAGATCGTTTTAGATGATATGGGATGACTGAGAGGAATTTTGATGGATTATGGGGAATATAGATGGATTTGGTGATCAAAATGTATATAAGTGGATTTGGGATTATTAGGAGGATATCAGGGCATTTGAAGGATTTCGAGGGATTAAGAGGAATAACGGGTAATTTGGATGGACATCGACGGATTTGGAGGGATTCTGAGATTAAGGGGGATGGGATATAGGGAGATTTGGGGTTGATATCGTCGGATTTGGAGGGATCGTGGGATTAAAAGGGATATAGGGGATTTGGGTGGATATCGTCGGATTCGGAGAGATAAGTTGGAAGTGTTATTCCAATCCACCTTATATCCCTATATTACTTCACATCTTAATCTCCCCATATCCACTTATATCCCACTTAAGACTTACAATTCCCTCATATCACCCTTAATCCCTCCACATCCATATTAATCCTACAATATCATCTCCATATCATAATATCCCCGATATACTCTCAAATACACAGATTTTATATGGTATTCCAAAATTTTTTAAAAAATTTGATATTTGATCAAATATTTGACTTTGCAAATCAAATTTTTTCAAATATCAAATAATTCTCAAATTATTTGATCAAATATTTGTTTGATGACTTTTGGGAGAAATCAAATTTTTTCAAATATCAAATAATTTTCAAATTATTTGATCAAATATTTGATTTTGTCTTTTGTCCGATCTCTAGAGTGTACACAAGAGTGTACACTCTTGGTACCATAGTAGGTGTATGAGTGAGTGTGAGAGTTAATAATTAGGAAATTAATAAATAATAACATTGGCATGAGTGTCAAATTAGGAGGAAGTAATTAGGAAAATTGTGTCTTAGGGTTGTACCTACGAGTGAGTTCTGTATTGAATAAAAATAAAGGCCGCAACATCTGGTACGCCTATGCTTTGCAAATCGCATTTAAAAATACAAATGGAAGATGATCCAGAAGATTTGGTATTTGAAGAGGGAATGACTGACACTCCAAATGCTAATTATGTGAGGGAATTTGTATTATAAATTAATTTTAAAAAATAAATATTTAGTACCATGATAGTAACCTAGAAGTACAATTTGAAAGAGATGTTTTTGCTGGAGCGAAGAGGGCGAGGTTTTACTATGAGGTTACTGTAGTACGCGAAAATCAACTCAAGACGGGCGCTGGTAATTATTTTTTACCATTTTAAAATTTCTGTCTCTAGTTGACATTTTGAAATTTTTGGCTCTTTTGACATTTTGAAATTCTCTAATACAGTACTTAATTCTTTTAGGAAAACCAAAGTTTGAACAACGTCGAACCCTAGTTAAATCAGATGTATTAGATTATGAACTTCATCCAGAAATTCATGGAACGGGGATGGAGAATTACTACAAAACCAAAGGAAACTCAACCAACCCCCTATGAATTCTTTTACATCATAACCCCTTTTGGCCGACTTTATTCGACTTTAAAAAATTTTTTTATTACAAATAAATTATTTTATTAATCAGAAAAATATATTAAATTATAAATAAAGTAAAATAAAATGCAAATAATAATAATTAAAACTAAAATTAAATACAAGGAAGAATAATAAAAATATATTTTAATTAAAAGGCATAAAAAATTTAAAAATAGAGATTTTTGGAAAATTTTCTTTGAATTTTTTTTTATTTTCAAAAAAATACAATTTAATCCCTCTTTGATTTATAATCCTCTGAAGCGAATATTAGGCTAAAAACACCCTCAATGCCAAGTTGAGGTGACGTTGGATTGGAAAGTGATGTTGAAAGTGGTTGCTATTAGGGATCGAGCTGGGCCTGGACCAAGGCCTTGATTTTTCCTGTACCCAGAGTCCAGGCCCAGGCATTTTTGACCTTACTGGGTTTTTCCTGGACTACAGGCCCAGGACCCGGCCCAGGTCAATAAATCAAACCCAGAGCCCAGGAACAGGTCCAGACTTTTCAAAAATCTCGATCTCTAGTTGCTATAACAGATAGTTTAATCAAAGACAATACACGAAGGGTCGAGAAACGGGTTAGATATTCAAAATCCACTTGCTATTAAATTAGCAATAAAATCTCTATTTTTTAAACATAATAATAATTTTGCGGTTTAATTTTTTTTCTTTTTTAAAAGAAATTATTTTTTATTAATTTTTAATTAATATCATCTAATTATGGGTAAACAAATAAATAATAAAAATAATAATGGGTATCAATGCTGTATTTTGGGCTTCTGTTGGCTCCGGTGTTTTCAAAATCTTAGCATAGGAGCCGGGCTCCTAAGCTAGCTCCCGGGGCCATACACAGCACTGATGGGTATAATTATGGGTATACCGTATTTATTCTAATAGTACTACGTCTCTATTTGAACCACGGTCTCTAATATAACCACATCAAATGGAGGAGTTGAAAAATACAACCACAGTCTCTAATATAACCACATATCTATCATACTCTTAAATAAGTACTATAATTCTCGTTAACCTTAGCAAATCCAGGAAAGCCCATGGCATATTCAGTAGGAGAATTTATGAGAGCTAAAGTGTCGGGGGATTATGAGGAAAATGGAATAATGTGGATTATGAGGAAATATAGAAAGATTTGGGAGGACTAAGAAGATGAGGAGAATTTGGTCAATACGAGGATTTGGGGGATTGAGAATGATTAAGATGAATTAAGAGGTTGTGAATTTTTCCATAATTAATAGGAATCCAATTCTCTTGCTATACCAGTGTATCAACTCTAATTGTTCTAAATCCATCGATATCCTTTCAAATCCTTCTATATCCCTTATAATGCCTCCATTCCAAAACTTTAATATAACAACGAGGTAGGAGTTCTTGGTAAATTTCCTAGGTTCTCTTACTAGGAAACCGAGTTGAGGGTTAGATCTTATTATAGGAAATCGACATTTTTGTTAAATCTGGCGCCGCACTCGAAAATCTAGAGAATTTTGAAGTCGAGAAACCACCAAATTGATTAAAAATTATAATTATTTTTGGAGAATATGACAAGAAATTCTCAATATTTTTCCTATTTTTCAAAAAAAAAAGATTGAAAAATAAAGCCACAGTCTCTATTTGAACCACAGTCTCTAGTATAACCACAAAAATCGAAGGGTTGAAAAATAGAACCACTGTAGTACTATTAGAATAAATACGGTAATTGGTAAAGATATTCTTCAAAAAAATTCTGTCAATATGTAGAAAAGCCATTTTGGTGGGTTGACCATTTTGAGATTTTGGCAAAATGTGAATTTTTTGGTTAAAAGTGCAGTAAAGCCAAAATTTGATGTTTTGAAGACTAGAGGAAGAGGAAGAAGAGATCTCTCATAAATTCTTCAAAAATTTGAAGAAGTATCGGAAGAACAACTTGTAGTCGAATAACATTCAGAAGTAACAGAATCCCTTCTATTTTGACTTTCAAAACAATTTTCCTCGTCATCCCCACTTTCCATTCCAGAATCGTTGTTTGTTGTTTCTTCTTCTGTTTGTTGTTTATATTCTTCATTTTCTTCTTCTTCATCTTCCCATCTCATTTCATCCTTCCACCAATTTTCGGCTTCTGTACCAGCCATTCTTTGTTTGAATATCTTAAATAGAACAATTTAAAAAAATTTTTTTGAAAAACTTTAAAGGTTTATAAATGCCTCAGAATATGTCGGACTCATTATAAGATACCCATCAATGCCCCTCAATACTGGACACACCTCGATATAGGATACTATTTTTAATTTAGTAGGCCATTGGAAGGGGGAGCTGGTAGTCTTATGTACAAGGTAATACTCCTCTAGAAATACCCCCTATTTAAGGTACCCTTCAATATAAGATACCCCCTATTTAAGGTACCCCTCAATATAAGATACCCCCTATTTAAGGTACCCCTCAATATAAATACCACACGATGCGTTTTTCATGTTTGGTTGGTCATTAGAAGGGGAAGTGTGCCACCCTTCTATTTAGGATACCCTCATTATAAGAGACAATTTGTCTCGATCTCAAGGGATTTATAATGAAGTCAGACTTTAATTTAAAATTTATTCACCTCATCAATTAAATCGCTCTGTTCTCTACTCAAATAATTCTTCCAGTCGCGGGCACATCCCTTTCGAATAAACGATTCGTTGTGCAAAGCATTCCCCGGAAACCATCTAGTCTGATTTTGCTGCATAGACTCCAATTGACTTTCTTTAATAATTTTTTCCAAAATTTGACTATTTTCAATTAATTTTGCTGAATTTTCCCCCAAAAATTTGGCAATTGAAATTATCGTTCCTTTCAAATCCTTCAACATATCCTCATATTTTAAAAATAATAAATTTTTGTTGTTAAGTTTTTGTGGAAGCCAGCTATTCAAATGTTCAAAATAATCTCCAAAGGCCAATTTTCCTTCAATAAAAAGTTGGAAAAATTGGTCGAAATTGCCGTCTGCCCAGTCATAAATTTTAAAATTTTTGTTGTGATGATAGTAAGAAACGAGACAATCTTTTGGGTTTCTACAAGCAAAAATATATTTTGACAGGTTGTTCTGGGGGCAATTGTGGTGAGAAAAGTGTGTTTTTAACAGGCGTGGATGTTGCAATTTGTTACAGTAATCGGCGCCGACTCTTTCAATCATTGGGGAGGTTGTGCACAGCTCTGCAACTGGCAAAAATTAATTTTTAATAGGCTCAAAAAAATTTTTTTAATGTGTCAAAGTGGTAAAAAAGCTTAGAAATGATGTGGGAAGCTTAATTTATTATTTTAAAAATATTTTTACCACGAAAGGAATCGAACCTTCAACCCCTTGATTAAGTCAACCAAGCGAACCCATCACTCTACCACTTAACCAAAAAATTTTAAAAAGTGTGAATTAGTGCCTGAAATTCTAAGGAAGAAGTAGTGAGCTTAAAATTTAAAAATATTTTCGGCAAAAGGAATCGAACCTTCAACCTTAAGAAAAAGTGGCCCAGACGAACCCAACACATAACCACTTAACTAACTATCCCAACAACAATGATTTATTTATGTACCTTTTCCTTGATGAGGCCCGTACTCGGAACAAAAAAGTAGTTGGGAACAAATGTGTTGAATCCAGGTAGTTCCACATTTTGGGTAAGTACAAACAAACACGTCGCTAGGGAGAGGCTTCATAGTCTTTGCAGATCTTTAGAGAAAATTTTTTTTAATTTTTTCAAAAATTTCAAAAATTTTTTTTGTCTCGCACTGACTGTCCGCACTGACAGAAAAAATTTTTTGCAAAAAAATTTAGCAAAAAAATTCAGCAAAATTTAGGTATTTTTTCTAGGTAATTATCAACCACTTTTTTTTTATGTTTTAAACCTTTTTTTGTATTAATAGACAATATAATCTCTCCTCTCTCCTTTACAACCGTCATCTTTCCATTTTTAGAATTATTACCCAATTTTCTGCTTGGCTTTAAAAATATAATAATGGTTGAAGAGAAATAATTATTTTATTAAACAATACCATATTGGCCGTACTAATCCCCCCTTCCCATCTCCGAATAAAAAGATAAAAAAAATAAAATAAAAGATTTAACTAGTTGCTTTGTGGAGAGGATAAAAGACTTTTTTTATTACTAAATTAGGTAAAAGTTGCTAAATTAAAGGCTTTCTCCCCGTATTTTGATGACTATAAAAATTTTGCAGAGAATAATTATATTATTAATCCGTGTAGATTATTTAGAAATATTATATAATCCGTGATAAAATTAGCTCGGAAATTGGCCGTTTTTTGTGTTTACGTATTCACGGGTTATTTGAGTATGAGGCTTCGTAAGGCCTTCTCACTTGGAGTCTCGGATTTATTTTATCAAGCTTTTGATACCGTTTGATAGAGCAGAAAATTAGCTAAATAATAGACATAAAGTTTAAAATTCTGTTTCTAAAGAAAAAAAGTTGTAGTCAGAAAACTAAGCTTTGTTTTAATTAAAGTAAGGGGGTTAGTGCAGTTCGCCCCCCATAACATTCTTGGCCTGCCTTCAAAAATTTTTATTTTTATACATTTTATAGCCTATTTAATCCTCTATCGTTTGACATCAAATTTATTACGAAAAATTTTTTTGTTGGCAAGTTACGGATTTTCAAATCCCCGTGGTTCATGACTACAGCTTATACCTTTAAATAGCTTTTTATTTTTTTTTAAATTTTTTCTGTTGCCATTAGATTAAAATTATTATGTTTTTCCACTTTATAGATTCATTTTTTAATTTGTTTTTGTATTTAAAAATGAGGGATGGCACGGCACTAAAAATAAAAATTTAAAAAAAAAATTCTTTCTCACTAATATTTTTTGTACCATTTTTATTTTTGTTTTTCTTTTAAAATTAAACTACACAAAAAAAATTTTTATAAACAAATTTCGAGAATGCTTTTAATATAGGGATTAGTAAAGTAATACTTTTTTTATTTTAGTGTTCGTGTCATGCAAAAAATTATTATTAATAATAATTTTTGTGGGGGTGGTGGAGAAAGGTGCTAAGCATGAAAAACAAAAATAATTTTTTTTTTGTTTTTATTTTTAGGAAAATTTTGTTTTTATTAAAAAAAATTTTTTCTGTATTTTTGTTTACTAAAAAAATTTTTTACAAAAATAGAAAATTAATTTTTTTAATTAAAAAAAATTTTTTTTAAGAGTCGGGACAGTTCAGTGCGGACACTCAAAAAATTTCAAAAAAATTTCCAAGATTTTCAAAAAATTTTTTTTACCTAACAGCCTCAACCTCAAATACGGGGGGCCAAATTTCGCCATCTATAATAGCCTGTTTTGGATGTCCTTCTGGCTGATAAATAATTTTTTTTGTTGTTTTTTCGTTAATAGTTAAGTTGCCTAAAGGCAGGTGGACTTGTTCGACGTTTAGAAGGTGAAGGAGATTGTTGTTGTTATTGTTTGTATTTTTTGGTGGCATTTTTAGAATATTTTTGGAGAATTTTTTAGGAAAATATTTTTAAGGAACAATACTTAAAAAATAAATAAAATTAATTTTTTTTAATTATTTTGTGAAAATGAGGGGTAAAAATGTGGGGCAATTGTGTATGTGAGGGACACAGTCTAGTTTTTATTTTATATCTTTTTAACAAAAAATATTTTTAAAAATATTTTTGCACTATTAAATAGAGAATTAAATTTGCTATAAAATAGGATAAATTAAAAAATTTTAGAAATTATTTTAGAAAAAAATGAGGAAAGAAAACTAAGTGTGATTGGGGAAAATGCTTGTTGAAAATGCTTGTTTTCTAACCCACAGACTTTTCTCCCCTCAAAATCCTTCTCTGGGAAAATGCCCTTCACAGGCAAAACAAGGTGTCCTTCACAGGCAAAACAAGGTGTCCATTAAAATTAATTCTTTTTTTTTAAATTAAAAAATAAGCAGAACAAATGACTGACACTTTTCGAGGTATTAATATCCAAAAAATTTATTTTTTGGAAATAGGGAAGGAAAATAGTGGTCGTGTTTTGGCGTCAGGCAAGTATGTAACAAGCAGAAACAACCACAACAACAACAACCACCTAAAAAAGTGGTTGGTTTATTGGCGTGGAAAAATTTTTTAAGAAATTAAATAAAAATATTTTTGGATTGTTCAGATAGGATGAGAAGACATTTTTGAAAAATAAGGAAAAAAATTTTATTTTTCAAAAATTATCGAAAAAATTTTTGAAAAATTTTCGAAAATTTTTAAAAAAATTTTTAAAAATTTCAGAAATATTTTTTTGAAAATTTTTTGAAAAATATTTTCAGAAATTTTAAGCAAAAATTGAAAAATTTTTAAAAATTTTTCAGAAAATTTTTTAAAAATATTTTCAGAAATTTTAAACAATTTTCCGATATTAAAAATAATTTTTAAAAAAATTCTATTCAATTTTTACGCTTTTAGAAGCATGCGCAAACTGGCTAATTCTTTTAATAATTCTCAGCTTTTATAGCCTCCAAATTGGATATATATTTTTATAACAATTATTTAAGAGTAAAGGGAGGCGGGGCTTATTAAAAAGAGGTAAAAAAATATTTTTTAAATATAAATAAAATAAATAATTATTTTTTATTTGTCACTATGTCCTCAAAAAGGGGCGGAGCCTAAATTCCATTCTCTCACTTTCTCTCCTTTCTACCCCCAAATCCTCTTCTAGCGAATTAATAAAAGTAGTAAAAGATGTAGAAATTTTAAAAATATTTAATTTTTAATAAATTTTATGGAGGTAAGAAAAATTTGTTTGGGAAGGAGGAAGAGGAGGATAAATAGGTGGGGGTGGGGATATTTTGTTTAATAATTTTTTTAATTCTTCTAAAAAATATTTTTTTCTATTTAATTTAATAATCTTAACCTTTATATTTTTAAAAATAAGAAAAAAAATTTTATTTATAACGTTTTTAAAGTATAAGAGGATATTTGATTGATAGAAGAGATTGATAGTTAAATAACTCAAGATTATTATTTAAATAATCCGGAATAACTTGAAATCTATTTGTTTCCGTAAATGTTTCAAATGACGTTAAATATTAATTTTATTCTGTGAATAGCCGGAAACTGTTAATTTTCTTACGGAAATTAATTTAGAGTTATTTAAATAAAGATTCCAAAATATATATTTAATTAATTTCAGAATAATAATTCCTGAATGACCGGAAAATAGTTTATTTTCGGAAACAGTTTAATTTATTCTGGGGTAACCGGAATGTATTTAATTAAGTGCAAAATAACCGGAAATAGTTTATTTCCGGAAAAAAATTAATTCCAGAATAACCGGAAAAAGTTTAATTAACATTAAAATAAATGGAAATATTTTATTTATTCCGGAAATTGTTTAATTAATTATTAAAACCTAAACAAAAATTAAATATTTTTCAATTTTAAAAATTTATATTTATTTATTCGAATTTAAAATAAAATAATAAATTATAAAATTAATTTTTTTTTGTAGAAAAATATTTAATAATCTTTTCTTTTATTTTTTTCTATTAAAATATCCGTTCTTTAGAAATTAAATATTTTTTGTGCTAAAAGGGTTTTGTTTGAAGAAAAGGGGTTTTATTGTTTTATTATTGTTAAAATATTCTGATAAATTAATTTTTTTTATTTTTTGTATTTCCGTAAACATTATTAAAAGTACAATAATTTAATTGATATCATTTTTAAAATAAAAAAAGGAAATGGAGAAACAAAAAAATTACCGTTAATTTATTAAAAACAAAAAATTTTTGTTGTACTTGGAGGTTTAAAAAATTTTTTTAAATTTTTTAAAAAAAAATAAGGCTGCAACAAAGTTCTATGGATTAAAATGATGTGTGGAAAGGAAAGGATATAATGCCAATAAAATAACGCTAACCGGAAATAAATATTAAAAGGAAAGAAGTTATTAAAGTGTTTTGAAGGTTGACATTAATTGAGTCTAAGCTTAATAACTCAGCTTGGGGTAAAAATTTTTTTAAAAATTTTTGGGATTTTATAGAAGAGACTTTTGCCTATTAAGTAAAAATAAAATCAAAATTTTAGAGAAGACGAGAAAAAAGTTGAGGCAAAAAATAAATTAATATAATGGGATAAAATGTCCACTTTATTGAAATTTAGACATCATTTTTATTAATTATCCTAAAATTTAGTTTTTAATTTTATTTTG